CACACACATTACTGACACTTATCAACAGGCTGAAATTGTTGAAATCACAGACTAATCAAATAAAGCCCCAAGTGTCAAACATTTAAAAGATGCTTACACAGAAGATCAATTGATTAAAGTTTGTGTTCTCATTTAAAAATAATTCATATACTGAAATATCCGTGGGCATATAATGATTTTTAACAGGTAAATCTTTACAGTCAAAATATCAATCGTCATTTGTTTTGATAAATTGGCTCCACAATCCCTACACCTCAAACTGAAGTTACTAACGAGATGACACTTAACATGTCAGCCAAACAAACTCTGTACTTTTATATAGTACAATAGTGTATTTTTTTTGTATATTTTCACTAAGTTAGCTAAGCATGAAAACATGTCAAGTCGAGCGTCAACATGTTTCACGGGAGTGTACACATTAGCACAAACACACACAAACAAACACACGTACAGACACGACCCTGGCGGCCGTAATGGACGTCAGATTCAATCTCATCAGATTTCTCCACTGATGCTTGATGTATCAATTTTTAAGTAGCTCACCTCAACTAACGCCGGGGCAGCCTCCACACACCACACTAACACACACACACACACACACACACACACACACACACACACACACACACACACATACACACACACAGGCTGCGCTGTGCGCCAGGATCTGTGGCACTCGAGGGGTACTAGAAGGTTTCTATCTTGAAAGCCTGTTGCCATGGTGACTATTATGGAGCTCATCTCCTGTGGGCCAGCAAGCTTTACACAACTTCCCCTCTGAAAAGAACACACTCACACACACTCACTATACCCCCCAACCCGTCAACAAACACACACAGAGTTCTCTCGTCTTTCGGCCCTTTATTGTGACGCCGGCGGGGAGCCAATGTTTGACTTGAAGCGAGTGCACGAGAAAGCAAAAGAAGAGAGCAATTAACAGTTAAACTAGCAAGAGCAACAAAAAGCAAAAGAGGGGGAGAGGAGAAGGCCCCCAGTCATGCAGAGGAAGTGTTTGTTTCAGAAAAGTGCAGCTGATGGGATTTTGAAAATGTACAAATAGGCCGAGTGACACGCAATTTGCATGTAATGATTTAGACTTACAGATTTCAGGTTTTTCATGTCTGTTGAATCAGTACAGACACTTCTCAACTTTTGAAAACTCTCAGGCACAGTCAAAAGCGTCTGCGTTTCAAACATTCAGCCCCTCAAACTCATTTAAGTAATATATAATCATTCACACATACATGCAGGGAAGGTCCAAAGCTGAAGTCTTTCTGAATGTCACGTGTCATACCATGAGAAGCAAAGACTACCTTCACTCAGGTTTATGTTTTCAAGCTTTGAGTAGCTTTCCAGCCCTGCCTCAGCTTCTTACTTACATGACCCATTAACAGTATAACTTAATTCAACTGTAAAGTCTGCATGTGAAAAAAGTACTTTAAACCTGTTCCTCATGCAGTTCATCTAGCCTCCTTTGTTTAGATCAAAGTTACTGAAGCTACAGAGTAAATTTAAACTTTTTAAAGTAGGGGAAAAGACAACAAAAGTCCACTGGATGTTTTTTCAGATCATCAGTATCATTTTTTCTTTAATGTTTAACAGTGACAGGTTCCAGCTTTCTAAAATGTGAAGACTTGTTTGACCCATCTGTCTCTTATAGTTTGTATAGTTTACATGTTAAGCGAACTTACTTTTTCTACAAAGCCGCTGAAAACAGCTGTCTGCTGCTGTGGCCAGACTCAGGATGGATATGTGGTTGGAACGAACCCGACATGTTTAGAAGTTAAACCAATTAAATGCATTAAGAGACACAAAAATCTTCCTGTGTTTAGTGGGAACTTAAGATGCACGTCTTTCTGAATGTATCACTTTGAGTGGCACCATTTAAGAGACCACTTATCATTTCACCCTTGGAAAAAAGAAAGATTTCCTCCTGCAGAAACATCCTGTGACAAGCTCATTTATGAAATGTTTGATGTTCTATTATTTTGATTTAAAAAGTAGTTGAATGTTAAGCCCTTAAAATAGTGTCTAATTAGCATGAAGCTAAACTAAACCAGCTCTTACTTGTTGTTGTCACAGAGAAAACAGTTGAGCTGTTCCTATCTCAATCAGTGCGTGGTGACTGAGGGTGTGTCTTGAGTAGCAGTACTATATCATATCTAAGAGCTATCGATTGGCATAAATACACTAAGTCTCTCTGGTGACCGGATGAATTTTTAATGAGACACATGATCTGAGGCCACTCTTTGTCTTTTGAAGAAACACACACAACACACACTCTCACACACATTACCCTGTGTACTGATCAGCAATGTCCTCTGTTTCTTTAAAGATGCTGCAAATGATGTAGTTTGTTTAGAGTTGTACAGCGTAGTTTTTATGACTTAACTTTTGTGCTCCTTTCTGACTATTTTGTGCGCGTGTATGTTTATGCGAGCATCGTCTTACTGCTCCAGCCTTCTTGTCCCTTTTTCATATTCATGGCAAATCATTTATCATAAGGGAACCAAGTCAAGTCACACATTTCCCATGGGGCTGACACTAGGAGTAGGATGAAGAAAAGAAAAAAAGAGGCAGAAAAGTAAGAGAGAGAGGAAAAAAAAAAAAGAGGGACTCTGAGAAAAAGAGAGAGAAAGAAAAAAAAAAAAGAGTGAGAGCGAGGTGGAAAAGCAGAGTAGAAAACAGCAGATCAGGAGAAGGAAGCGCCACTTTAAGCCGCCATTCTTGCAGAACGTTTTTTTGATTAGGCAGTTGTTGGGACGCCAGCAGGCCTGGCATGGGTCGCCCTGTCTGTCCTCTAGCAGCGGGGTCCTTTGTGCCTCTGTGGCCGGAGCCAAGACTCTCCGGATGAAACGTCCCCAGAGAAAAGCTGCTTTTCCACCCTGCTCCTCCAGCCCAGCCAACGGGAACACACACACACACAAACACACACATTCTCCATCACAGCACATAGGCACCCATTACCTAGGAAGCTGACAAGTAGGGGGAAAGAGAGCAGAAATCCTTTGAGAATTATCACTCCCTCTACTTTCTTTCGTTCTCTATTTCCTTTTCTCTCTATACACACACACACACACACACACACACACATCTCTTTTCCAGTGTTCTTTCAGGTCTTTTGGGGATTGTGCTAGTGGACTTTGCTCCCCTATGATGAATGATTTGCCTAAAAATACTGTCTGTATGCGAGCAAGCACAGCGTCCAGGTGGAAGAACTTACCTCCACAGTGAGAAATCGCACTCCTTTTAGGCCACTTTTCCATTCCTCTATCTGCAGGTTAACTATGGTGCTGAACATACGTGTGTGTGTGTGTGTGTTTGCCTGTGAACGGTGTGTGTTAGCGTGGTAATTTACAGCCTTTCTGGGGCGAGTGACGTGTAGCTTGATTAAATCCGTGACCTTCACCACCAGCACAAGCAATCAGCACGTGAACACAGGCGCTCACACACACTCGCCGCATACTTAACACCTTCTCCCACACAGGCCCGAGGCACACCAACATGCAATCAGCACCTGGCGAGTTCTATCGCATCATTGATCCAACCTATACACACACACACACACACACACATACATATATGTGCATACACACAAAGAATTTACCATTTGTATTTGAGGCACCCTCAATTTCCTTACATGAGGTTTTGTACTCTGTAATGCTGTTTACCACAGAGGCAGGAAAGGCGTGCGAGGATGGGAATACCAGGCCTATGAATGTATAAATAAATACATGCGTGATCTATATTCAGATTACCAAAGGGTAAATCAGGAATTCCATTTTACCGCCTTGGATGCAAAAGGGAAATAATTCAAATCCCCAATCTATTTCAGCGAGCTGCTCCTGTTGAGCGGTAGCACGGTTCTCCATTCCCCAGTTTTATGACTTCACATAATGACTAATATGCAGCCACTGAAACAGCAGTAGCAATAGTCATATTATGTTATTGTGATTATTGCTGTGACTGTGCCTGTGTATTGTTCGTTCCCCTGGTTGCCTGAGATCTAAAGCTTATATAACAGGACTGACGGTGGATCTGTTGTTGCATTGTGTTATTGTACTGTAAGGCCCTGTGGTCATGCGGGCCCTCAGCCTGATGTAAAAGGATCTCACGTAGACCTAATGTCACAATATATTAACTCAGACTTTGTTTTCTTCTTCTTTGCCATGGGTGCTGCACGGAACATCATATGACCGATCAGGATCTGTAGTAGCTCTGTTGTAGTCGCCTTCTCTTGTCATTTTGTGTTCTGTGAAGCATTTTTTTACCTTTTGGGATACCGGTTTACTTAAGAGCTTAAACTGTAGATTAGGTTTCATTGTAAACAACCTCAGTTTTCTTCTCACAGTTTTGGATATGTTGATATGTTTTCCATTACTAAGAGGGCATTAAAAGAGAAACCAACAATAAATAAATAAAACATTCTTGGTCAGTTTCCTAGTGTGGATGTTGGAAGCATTTTACCTTGTACAAGGTTTGGGACCTTAAGCTGTTTTTAAATACCTGTCTGGTCATCGTGTTGCCTTTTGTCTACTTGAAGCAATGTCACCATGTTCCCAAAGCTCTACAGTTACTGTTGATAGTCTAATATTATGGTTACTGACTGAAATTATCTCTGGAAAAAAAAGACCCAAGTCCCATTTAACTATAAATTATCTTATGAAAACATTTCTGGAGACCAAAGATTTGTGGCATAAAGTCAAGGGAAACAGTCTGAGAAGGGTCATAACTTATTTTGAACCCCAACTAGTCTGGCTGTTTGCCTTCAGCATTGTCATAATACAAAGAAACAAAGAACACTTAATAAGTTGTTTTTTTAATCACACCACACTTTAAAGACATTTTGAAAGGGATCTTGGACTCTTCAAACCATTAAAAGGAGCCAACGAAAAAATGTAAAAAATAACCAACTTCTGAAAGAACATTGAAATGATCCCTCTCATGTGTGGTTGAATTGGCCTAGTCTCTAACCCTGTTCCTCTGTCTCCTCACTCCAGCCTGCAGACCGGGTACCTACAAAGCTTCGGCCACAGATGCGTACTGCACCAAATGTCCTCCTCACAGCTCGTCCTCGCAGGAACAAGCCGTCGAATGTGTCTGTGAGAAAGCTTTCTACCGAGCTGAGACCGACCCACGCTCCATGGCCTGCACACGTGAGTCAAGAAAATTCAACACATGCTCTTCTCTTCAGCTGCAAACACAGTCAGACAATTGGATGCTCCTTTCATACCATATTGTGTAATCAGTGCATTTACTGTAGTCAGATATTAGCATTTAGCTGTTCTGGTTATGTCATAAAATGGTATTAGGTAACAATGATTGGATTACATGGTATTTAACTTGTTGCCAGTCTATTCCTGTAACAATTTATCTTGCATGGCTGCTTTCCATTTTATTCATTTTTATATCTATAATCCCCCAATGCATTTTCCTTGTCCTCCTCTGCTGTTGGTTTACACAACAACACTCGATACATACACAAAAACAGACACACACAGTAATATGTGAAGCTGTGTTATGATCCACAGATATCACCGATGAGAACACCGATACTGGGGATACTCTGGTGGAAATTTGATGATGTTTCTTATTCTTTGTGTGCTTCTCAGACACACAAACACACACCCAGATCGAGCAGTGTCAGACCACATCCTCATGAACAGAGATGGAGGAGAATAGAAAAAGATAAGGAGAGAGGATTGAGAGAAAGAAGGGGACAGAAAGATGGATCGTGATAGACGCAAGGATGTGGGGGTGGGAAAGGACAGTGACACGGCGGGAGAGGGATTATGAACAAGAGAAAAATGGGCCAAATACACACCCATACACACACATGGACATACCAAAACCCATTATCAGGTTATGGTAGATTACGCTCATTAATCGTTGGAGCAGGTGAGATGTGTAACGGTTGGTGTTATCAGCGGGAAATGAGTAACGGTTGGTTCTAATTTGTATGCGCACACACACATGCTGGTGAAGAGCATGGAGGAGGATGAAGGGGGCTAAAGTGAGGAAATAAGGTGAAAAGGTGAAAGGATTAGATATGGAGAGGGATGGAGAATGATGCTTAAAGACACAGGCAAAGAATAGAACAGCGGGAGGAAATTGTGGACCATCAGAGGCATATAATCTAAATGTCATAAAAGGCTGATCAGCAGCCATGATGATGGACAGTGGAGTGTGGCCCGTGAGGAGCAGGGGGGCGGGTAAAAGACAAAGACTGAATTAGAAAGATCAGACAGCACACCCTTTCAGGAGATCTATGACAGACAGCCGCAATTATCCCCAGCATGGCCTCCAACCCCCCTGCACCTAGCTTTACCCTCATCCTTCCAGCTCTTCAGAGAGGCTCACCACTGGGGGGGCTAATCAGGAAAGTCCCAGGCTCTGCAGGCGGCCCCCTGGGGCTCACTGCTCAGCCAGGTCCTGATGAGATGTCAGGCTTAATGGGCATCCACTGACAAATCTACGTATGGCTGAGATACCTGCATGATGCTGTACGCAGCCATAATCAGCGGTTTCCATTAGAGTGGGTCTCATACAGGCAACAGTTATCAAGGCCTACATTGATGACGTGTTAGACGTTTGATCTTTATTCATCACATTGACTTTCCTGATTATGTTTAAATATTATATGTCAAAAAAGTACAGAAAACCCAGAAATGTGGCTGGATTTTTTTGGTGGGCAGATGCCAATAAGAAAGAAATGGGATACCGATATATCGGCCGATATCTTTCTTTAATCTGTAGAGATAAATAGATATAGGTATGCACATTTATTGCGTTGATCCCTCAAATGCGGTTATCAAACACTTTTGGAAAAGATAAACAGTATAACGAAGACGGTCACACAACTGGAAAGTAACTGCACACGTAGATCACTGCTTGACAAGTGTTATAAAATGAAACTCAAATGAAATGCTGTTTGACTGGTAAATGAATCTTGTGATAGCTGCATTTTTCTGCAATAAAATTAGCCGATACCGATAGTCACTGGATATGCTAATATCGGTCGACATTATGGTTGGCAAAATTAATCAGTCAGGTTTTTATTTTATATAGGCCATCCATGCTGTACAGAGTATGTTATACAGAGAGGCGAGAGGAAAACAATGATTTTAGGAGCACATCAAGTCAGAAATACACTGACCAACGTCAACATTTCTGGGGCCGTCAACAAGTTTTCAAAGAATTTAGCTGATATTTGTGCAGAGGAAATGTTCATTTTCATGCCCCTAAGCTGCTCATTAGTTCTGTTCGGCCTAGTTTGACTCTGCTCCTTGATGCATGTTCACCCGTGCATGCAGACAGGGAGGGAATGTGGAATTTTATTTTGTCCGGCTTCAATATATTATGTTGACTATGTGGCGATGAGAAGTGTATGCATAAAATGAATGAATGAATACATAAATCTTCAACTAAAGGTATAATAATGGCCGTTTGTGTGTCTCTCCTTCCTCTAAAATGATTAGTGACACTTTTGGTCTCAGTGAAACACTAATCATTCCAGCTGAAGCTCAGAGTAATATTAACTGATCATCTAAATCATAAAGTCTACCTGACTCATGAGAAAATGACTCCTGGCACTTTTTATAGATCATTGTCCACTTACAATTTATTATCCACAGTAGAGCGAGTATTAGTTAAATTCACATGGTAAATAACCTCCCTACAGACGAGCTGCAAATATTTAACATGGTGTGATTTCTCTTAAAAGATGGATCTAAACCTTGGACGTGTACTCATCACATTTACAACCAGCCAACTCTTTTAATCACTGTCCATTTCATTCAGCTATTACTATTCTAGCTATTAATTAATGGATGGACTCTGTAAATTCATTTTTAATTTAATTTAATCAATTTGAATTCTCTCCAATAGAAACTGCAATCAGTTTTTTATTGAACATGAAGTCAATGGACATTGAGAGAAAGTATGACTGGGAAGATAAACAATATTATCATTCAGTGTTTTTAATTAGTTGATACTGGTTTGAGTTGGTGCAAAAGCTAAGCTGTGGCTGGATTTACAGCTCACCCAGTGCATGCTGAGAAAGCATGTTTTAGTGAGTACGGTGCAAAATATAGTGTAATATTTCATTTCAAAAGAGCAAAGATTTTGTTTTGCTTCCCATCATTGAATATGCTCTGTAGAGTCATTGAGCTCTAGAGCTGCTATGGAGCAATGCTTTCAGAAGTAGGTTAGCCTTTTTCAAAAATCTTGTGCCCTCCTATCTTCCTACGGATGGTTTTATTCCATCACAATGATCAACAATCAGCTGAAGGAATACAGCAAGAAATGTAGCAACAAAAGAAAAATAACAGAAAGGAAGAAGCACTGTAGATGGCAAAGTTTTTATTCACAATGTAGGTTTCAAATTTCTTAGAAATAAAAACCTGAAAACAAGTCTTGTTCAATTCCAGTCTTCTCCCAGGAGGTTGGTTAAGACTCTCACACTACATTTGTTTGATGTTGGAATAGTCTGAACAGAGGTAACCTCCAGGGAAGATTCACACTACGACTCCCTCAAGTTAAGCTACTTAGAAAGTCGTCGATATTTTGGTCCATGACTTGCTAAGCTGACATATCACTCAGAAAATAGCAGACTTGGGGCGCTGGTGGCACAGTGGTTAGTGCGCGCGTCCGATATATGGAGGCTATAGTCCTCAACGCGCTCGGCCCAGGTTCGAATCTAACCTGTGGCTCCTTTTCCTGCATGTCAATCCCCTCTCTCTCTCCCTGATTTCCAACTACATCCAACTGTCCTATCTCTAACAATAAAGGCCCAAAAAGCCCAAAAATAAATCTTAAAAAAAAAAAAAGAAAATAGCAGATTGGAGTAAATGTAAGAGTCATTGTCTTTATTAATTGACAAAACACAAATTCATTTAGGATTCCATGTATGGTATGCCATATGGTATAAGGCTGTAACCGATAGTTGATGATTGTGTTTCCACATTCCAATCTCAGGAAAAGGGACCATCCAAGAAGCACCTAAAAGCAGCATCTGTTCAATTCTTTCAATTTTTTTCAATACGTATAACAAAGTGAAATAAATAAATCTATCTTCCTTTAGGTCCTCCGTCTGCTCCAGAGAACCCGATCTCCACTGTGAACGAGACCTGCGTCATGTTGGAGTGGTCCCCACCCAGAGACACAGGAGGCCGAGGAGACATCACCTACAGCCTCCACTGCAGGAAGTGCTCCGGAGACGGCAGGAAGTGCACGCCCTGTGGCAGCAGCGTTCATTTTGTTCCCAGACAATTTGGTCTCATGTCGGCCTCGGTGCTGGTCACCGACCTGCAGCCGGATTCAAACTACAGCTTCACTGTCGAGAGCCAAAACGGCGTGTCGGACCTAAGTCCCACACCAAGAGGAACTGTCGTCATCAATATCACGACATCACAGACAGGTGAGAGCGTACACACTTACAGTAGGAAAAGTCAGCGCTTGAAGAACAGTCTTCATTTACAAGTTTAGCATTTGTAGACACAGATATAGTTGTGCAAACTTAAATACCAGTATCTAAAATGCTAACAATAAAGCTTAAAACACAAGATGTGGAATTGTGCAACAATCTGACACTAACTTCTTAGCCCTGAAGAAAATCAGCTTGTTCCACTGGAAAGACTTCTTTCTTTAAGACTCAAACAGTAGCTTCCACAGCTGATGTATTGTTGCTGCCACTTATTGCTAAACCATGAAAAAAAACTGACTGGTAATTTATCTTGTGACGAAAGCAAACAACAACAGTGCAGCACTCGTGGAGAACGTTACGTTAGTGCAAGCTTCACGACATAAAGCAGTTTAACAATAAACACCATATTTAAAGTGTAATTATTCCTTTCTTTGCTTTGAATGACCGTAAAACCATCAAATAAAAAGTTGTCTGTCATGCATTCTCTGAGCCAACATACAACAAAGATATCAGTCATATCACATATCGCCAGTATGATCCACCTCTTTTAAACTCTTACGCTGATATCTGTTTCTTGGTATTGGCTGTTAAGCATATTCAGGTATTGGAATCAGTATGGGAATGAAAAAAAAAAAGGTATCTGACATCTAGACTCAAAAGCTTCTTGTAGAGTATTATTTTTATTATTATTATTTTAAGGATTTGAGTTGTGGCCATCAAAATGATTCTACAGGATTTTACTTGTATCAACATTTAAATACTAATAAGAAAACAAAATCCTCTGTGGAGGAAAACAAATCTGTATCACTGTAAATCATAATATCACTGCAGAATCACGCCTGGACTGCATCACTCTGACGACGCCCCGGCACGTCTGCCTACACACATGATCATGTGTGCCTCTCTCATGGTGTGCGATTTGGGGGAAATCTGTGCAGAACAAGTGCATATGACAGGGTGGTGACTAACACTTCTTGTTCTATGTGTGTGTGTGTGTGTGTGTGTGTGACAGAGGAGGGTGCAGAAGGCTGTTCATCTCATTAAGATGTGACATGTGCTACACTTAACTAGCGTCACATGTCACACATTTTTACATGCAGAAGCAGTACGACACAATTATGTGCTCCAGTGTGCAGGGAGCTGGGGATCAGTTGCAGGGTTCGGAAGTTTTAACATTTGAATCCTAATCAGATCACACAGATCGTACACACAGGTCACACATCGAACGCTGTGACCACACATGTATAAATCACCTCGTAAGCTCTCTAATTAGCAAGTTGTCACAAGTGTTCTCATTATAGCACAGAGGGGATCTATCCACACTCTTTCTTTCTGCCCTCACAGCCTTCTCTCTTTGTGACTTTTTTTCATGTGGTTGAACTTGACTGTGTCTTTGTTTCTCATCATTTCCCCGTCCTTTTCTTTGTGTGCTACAGTGAGCGTGGTGTTGAAGGAGAGGCGGAGCAAGGACAGCGTGACCTTGGCCTGGCAGGGTCCAGAGAGACCCAACGGAGTGATCGTGGAGTATGAGGTCATCTACTACGAGAAGGTGACAAAGACGCACAGTCATGTTTAAAGGGCCTGTCCAACAATTGTTGTGCTTAAAGATCAGTTCAGCTGTCAAGTCTAACTATTAAGAAAAAAAGTGACACCGTGGTACAACTTTCAGAGGAATAGTTTCACATTAAGGTGACGTCACAGTCGGGAAGTTCTGAGCAGTGTCTTGGGAAGAACGTGTGAACATTTTTAGACGGACAAGAAAGCTTACTTTAGCTGCAGCATTTTCCTTCAAATCAACACATGGGCTGATGGGACGGATTTGCCAGGATATCAAAAAGGTCACACAGGGGATACAGAAACCTGATTTAGACTTATATCCAGACTTATAACCTATGAAGATTGTGTTTTTGCAAGCTAAAATGAAGTAAAAATGTACAGTAACATCAGTTTAAGCACATGTATAGTAGCCACTAAGCCAGTTGATAAAATTATCAATTTGCTTGTGCAAAGGTTAAAAATGATCTCAAATCATTGTTTCAATAATTGCTGTATTGATGATACCATCGCATGAAAACAACGGTTGAGACAAAAGAGAGAGCTACACATTTAAAATAGTAATCATGAATAGATACAGTTTCTACATTAGTGTGTTTAAGATGAATCTCAGATTAATAAACACCCTTTGTATCCTATCAATGTTTCTCAATGTAAAAATTAGTGACAAAGCCTGTCAGCACCATTAAACTCAAAGCTGTTTGTTAGCGCTGACTAACGTTGTTTCCCCCTCTTTAGATCCTCACTTGGGTTGAACTTACTTTTAGATGTACGTTGCTTTGGACAAAATGAAATTGTAACTTTTTAACTCATAAAAGAGCAAAACAAAAATGTTAAGTGAGCAGTGGAGGCGCTGGTAGGAGGGACTTCTGACCTTTAGAGAAGCCATGCTAGTTGTTTCCATCTGAATCCAGCCTTCCTGTCCACGTCTTTCCAAGGATTGAAAAGTATACAGAATTTCCTTCAAAAGCGCACTATTCTTTTAACCACAATTTCTTTTTATTTCTGGGGCATCGCTCTAAATGCAACATGTCTCTCTCCTCTCTCTTACTCTACGTGTTGTCTGGGACTGTAGGATGTGAGTTTAGCCTTAGGGCACGTCTGTAATGACTTGCTCATCACAAACATCTCTCTCTCTCTCTGTCTTCCAATCTGCCTGCCTCTCCATCATCCCAAACCTCTCCCCTACTGCTCACACCAAGCCAATTAAGCACACATCTGTTGAACCAACCTTGTAAAACAAGGTGATGAAATTAAGCCTCCGTGCGTGTGTGTGCATGATGGTGGGAATTAGCAGTAAAATAGTGTTAATCCACGTTGTAGAGTGTCTTCTATTAGGTAGGGTCTCAGCCTCTCTCTGCTGGGAATCAGCTCACTGACAGAAACACTTATTCTTTATTCATCCTCCTACTTATTTGTTAGCGCACACACCTACAAGGTAGTCAAGCAAAGAGGCAAAGTGGGACTGGAGTAACCACATATTGCCCCCGAGTGTAAAGAGGATAAGATTTGGTTCTTGACAGATGCTCATGTATAAATGCGACCAAATGTTCCAGCGATGAACAAATGAAAATGTAGCGAGGCAGACACGGCCCCTGGAGACATTTAAATTAAACCGTTTGAGCTTTCTATTATTCTCAGACTTCCTTTTTTTTTTATTTCCTGTTGCTTTCAATACCAAAGTTCATTGCTCCTTATATAGCCTTTAGAATAAATCTATTACTTCAGCCTTCTTATCCTCAACCACTTTATCCCTCTGACTTTTACTCTTATCCAGCGAACTCAGAATTGAGTTCTCTCATTTTCTCCTTCCGTTCAGAATCAGCGGGAGCAGAACTACACCGTGTTGAAGACTCGCTCCAACATGATGACAGTGGACGGGCTGAAGCCGGGGACCACCTACGTGTTCCGGGTCAGGGCTCGAACAGATGGGGGCTACGGGAGCTACGGAGGAGAGATCGAACTGGAAACCAGCCACGAAGGTTAGGGCAAGAATTAAAAATATTGTCCCAATGAGCTGCTTTCTTTTCAGTCTTTTCTCTTCATTCTGTGTAATTGGATTGCTATTTTCTGTTCCATCTGTTTTGTTTTCAGCACAAAATTAGAATAGTTGGCAGTAGCTGTACAGAAATGGTGACAAGCTAGTTCTTTAAAAGCAATCCCCCCCCGTGTTGCCACTACTTATCTTAATTAGAGGTGAACGCTAACAAGAAGCGAAAAAAAGACTGCAGAGAAAGAAGGAGAAGGATATCATAACATAGATAAGTGAGAGCCTGATTCATCCCTCCTGTGGGTTCAATCAATCCACGGCATTGCTTATAAAATAGCTCACATCAGTTCTGTTGTCAGACAGAAAAAAGCTCACAGCCTCACGAGTTGTCATGAACGTATCTGAATCAGAGATTTGAAATTGTCATTGACTGCCAGAGGAGACACCCCAATTCCACAATGACAAAACAAGATTAGCATTCCTGGATTGTGCCGTTTTTGATTTACACAAATGAGCGGAGCAAAATCTGCAGGCTACAAGAAATATGTACCTGGCAAAATAATGAAACACACCCATGAGTAGAATGAAAAAACACAGATTGACTATCTGGATTCTTCTTTTCTTCGTTTTTTCGAACAGCAATCCCACTGCCAAAATCAGGGGGTGCATTTGTTTCATCCATCATTAGTCGGGACATATCAAAACCTGTGTTTCCTGTATTTTTGAGTATTTTTATGCACCAATTTGTGGTAGAAATGTCTTTATTTGTGTAAAGGAAAACACAAGGTGAGATAATGTATCAGTTTAAATAAAAAATATGAATCTTTCTGTATGAAGTTCAAACATTAGTAAGACCCAAGCTGCCACTTTACACAGTCATTGTATTCCTGAGTAGTTACATAATACAGAAGCACGCATCAAATGAGAGAGAGAATACTGTTTACTGCTTCACTCACCCCACCTACACTCTCTGCGCCTAATGAAGGAACTATAACAAGATACAGAACTGCACTTCGGGGACTGATGTTCCGACTGGGTATATCACTAGTGAATATCTGCATGGTTTGAACCTCACAAAACCTTCCACAAAGCATCATTAAAACAAAGATATCTCCAAAAAAAAAAAAAGCAAAGACTCATTTCATGTTTTCAGACTGTTCTGTATCACTGTCATGATGTTTTTTAAACTCCCTCTCACTCGTCCCCTTCCTTAAGTTTGCTGTCACCCACTTTCATTATCACTTCATTATGTGCTCGGGGACTTTCTGCTTTAGAGGCCCCGTAATGTGCTCTTCAAAGAGAACATTGATTCCCAGACAGGCAGGCGGAGGGGGATAAATCAGTAAATGTAAAGCACTGCGTTATAGATTATCTGTGCAGCATACAACAGGAACACATCAGCCTTCTAATCATTCAATAATCAAAAGTATTAGCAGGGGTTGAAATTATTTAAAGTTTGCCAGTGGCGCAAAGATCGCTGGCCCAACCATTGTAACCGCTGGCCCAGGAACATTACTTTTGATTCTAAAAATAACAGTCACTAATTTACTCTTGAACCATTCTGATAAGTAAATTATAACTTTGATTTAATTAGTTGAGCTCTAATTGTAAAATTATTATATTCATGTGCTCTTGTTCACCATGCTGGTAACTGTAAGAGTCTACTTAATCTGATTGATATTAATATGAGGATGTGATAGAGCTGGTATTGTTATGATCACCTTTCTCTCCTTCTTTCTTCTCTGTGAGAAACTCTTCATCCTTAGATCTTTACTTTAGGAGCTCTCTTAAGGGCTAAGATGCTTTGTGAATAACTTTTACCTTTAACAGGATCTAGTCTTTAACTTTAAGGGGAAATTTAGCTGCAGCGTGTTCCAGCTTCAGCTGTCTGTCACTGTGGCTGAAACTTTTCTCCCTTCTGTTTACGTCATGTCCTGCTGTCACTCTCGACTCTTCCGGTGATTTTTTTTCCTTTGAATGCTGATTCAAGCTCGGCTTTTGTCGGGATCTGATGGTTTTAAAACCGTTTTACCAAACATGTTTTTTATTAGAGAAAACCTGTTCTAAAATCTGTGTGCGAGTGCACAATTCGAGAATAGTGATGAACGCTCGAGGGAGGGACAGCAGTGAAGCAGTCGGCTGCCTTTCAACTGTGACACACAAGCGCACGCACGAGCGCTTATGATACGTTGATGCTGTAGCAGTTATTAGCGCAACGTTTAAAAATATTTACTGACAAAACACTGGTATGACAGGAAAGCGCTGTGAAAATGAGAACATGTTACAGTTTATGTTTTTTCAGGCAGAATTTTAACTGGCCCGAGGGGGCCAGCTGAACGTGCAATCAACTAGCCCGGACTCTGTCAATCATTCCTCCGGGCCGGCGGGCCAGTTATAATGTCGAGCCCTTATTAGACAGATGGGTTTCCTTTTAATGTATCATATCTGTTGAAAACCTTTAGATATCTGCTTGCAACTTATGGACCCATGTTGACTATGACTTGTGTATATAGAGCTTTTTTCAAGTCTTCAAACAGCAGTTTCAAATTCAAGTTCAATGCTGTAAAATACAGGATCCGGTAGCCATCATATCAAGGTTATCCAATCAGATCAATCATATTGATCGTTAAAGAAGGGTGGCTATGTGTGTGCCTGTAAATGTAATAAGAGATCAATGTGTATCTGAGCCCGCCCGGGGGCATTCGTTTGCCTCCTCGACCCACACATATACGCATACACAAGCTCAGACACACGCGTCCACTCGTGCTTAACTAAGCCAGATAAATGGGGCATTTGTTTTGAGTAATGGCTTGATTGGTGTGGCGTAAAAATCGATGCATCTTTGCAGAAAGTTCTCGGCGGCAGCCTTGTTATATGCAATGTTAACATATCCATTTGGACAGCGTGGCCGAATGGGAATTGCTTTCACGTCCACTCTCATAGCCTCATAGACGATGCAGAGAGGGAGAGCGCTTTTCATCAAAGACCTCACTTACTATTCAATCCACCTCCCTCTCTCTCTTTTACTCATTTGCTGCCCGCTCTTTTTCCCTCTCCTTCAACCTCTGTCTTTTATCTTCTTTTCTATCGCCATCATATTTCATTCTCTCTCCCTCTTCCCCCCGCCACATTCACCTTGCTGTCTTTTTTACTCCTTTCCTCATTTACTCTTCTTTCCTCTACTGCAGAAAGCCCACTTGGCTTCTTTCTGTCCTCCTTTGTGTTTGTAAATTAATCATTTCCCCTTTTTTTTCTCTCTATAGATGTTTTTGCTATCGGGGACCCAAACCAGTCCACCATTCTGGCTGTGTCCATCGCTGGGGGAATCGTTCTCCTAGTCTTCCTTGTGACTTGCTTCGTTGTCAGCGGAAGGTAAAGACACACAAACTTCTTGTTTACATAATCAGTAGAAGCTGTATGCACCACAGTATGAGGCAGAGCACAGGTGAAGTTTCACTCAGGTTAATCAGTCCCCACAGGGGTTTCTTTGTGATTGTTGCTGACTAAAATGCCTGATTTTGGGGTAGCTATTTTTTTTTATAAAGATGTGAACGCATGCTGCGATTTTATGAGGCTTTTTCCCCTTTAACAATTTCCATATACACAGCTCTGATAAAGCTATCTTTTTACTGAGCCAGTGGGTGGTCTCCTGATAATACTAGGGTGGGTGTCTTATTGTCATGACACCAAACAAAAGGCCAAAACATTAGTAAAAAAAAAAAAGAAAAGGTGCATACAGCTACAGTAAAAAGCCATAGAATACTGTGCATCACAATGCTTTCCATATAAAAGGAGAATCTACAAGTTACATTACATTTAGTTGATTCCATACCTTGGTGTACTTTCTCCTTTTTGAGATCGGTGCTGACAAACACAGCCTCTGATTGGTCAAAAGACTCAACCTGAGGCCACACAAAGTTGTTAAATTGATTGCCTATTGTTTTCACCATGGAAAAGTGGATTAATATAAACAAGAAGAGATCAAGTATTGGATGTATTACTATAAACTCACTGTAAAGAGTATCTGAAAATACTCTGACAAGTCTCAGCAGAATGACATAACTGTCTGCATCACAGCCAAAACAAATGATGTCTACAGCATTAACTTTTCAATCTTAGAGTAAAGGATAGAATCAGAACGTCAGATGTTCATACAACTTTGTCAAACTACGGGCGTTTAAGTTTTGATAACAAGGAGGAACGTTCGGTTTCTTGTATGAAGATGCTAGCAGGGAAAAGGGTGATGGGTTAAATATCCCGAAAGGTTACTCTGATTTGACTAAATTGCCATTTTGCACGGAATGCATTTGCATTGGTTGAATTTGTGTGTGTGTGTGTGTGTGTGTGTGTGTGTGTGTGTGTGTGTGTGTCACAATCCCCACTTCTTGGAGGGTGTGTTAAATATGCCGTACATGTGCAACTCTGCATAAACACAAGGGTAAACATGCATAAGAACACAGAGCCGAACCTCCCACTTCATGTCTCTCTGAAGGATACGTGTGCGTTAGCGTGCCACACACAGGGCCCTACAACTCTGACATTTCTACTACAGCCAGAGTTGAACTAAAGGCTGTGTTATTCTGTGTGTGAAGAGCACAGACTCCCTATGATCACTTGCTTTGAAGGTTAGGCTGCTGTTAATGCTTCGTCTCAAAGAAGGCCAGAAGAGGAGAGGAAGAAGATGAGAGGGAGGAAGGAAAATAAAAGATCGCGGATTTGTGAGAGGGTGAGAAGATGAAAGGATAGAAGTTAGGAGAGGGCTCTCCGGACGAAGAAGAAAGAGAGACAACAATGGGGAAAAGAGGAGAGTAAAGGAAATAAGAGGAGACGAGAGGAGAGGAAAAGAGAGGAAGGAGGAAAGGAGTGATCGCAAGATTAGAAGAAAGGAAAGGAAATGAGAGTACAGAGGAGAGAAGGGGATGACAGGTATCTGTGATTTAGCGTGCCTGTGACTATATGTTTGTACTTTATGAGCTCAGAGTAGATTAGGCACATGTTTAAAAAAAAACTACACACCCACATGCATGCTAACATACACACACTGATGTACACACACTGAAAACATTAGTATTGATTCAGGTGATTGCTTATCAGGCTGAGTGCTCTATTCACTATTGACTAGGAGATGTAATCAGCAGAGACGGTCCTTTGTTACACACACACACACCCACGCATGCACACACACACACACACACACACACACACACACACACACGGGAACACATCAACCTTATTTGGATCAGAGGGGAATTATGAGGTTGTGAGTGTAAGAGGCAAAACAAAACAACTTGTTAAGTGTGGCGCGTGATGAACACATGAAACACACTCAACTAATCAAGTTTCACAGGCTGGAGAGGTGTTAACTAGGTTCTACAGAGGGGTCGATGTGCCGCCATCAATTCCACGTCTCTCTCTTCCTCTTCCTCTCAGTGTGTCTCTATCTATCTCTCTTACCTTTAGAGTTGGGGACACTCGGGAGGAAGCAGCGCTGATTGCTGCTTTCTATTAAACAGCATCTGTGCATCTGTCAAATGTGTGCATGTGTGCACAAAGGTGGAGAGTGCTTGTAACTGGGGAACGAGGCAAGGATCAAAGCTGCATCACAGGAGATAAAGGAGGAGGAGAAGGAGAGAGAAAGAGGGCGCTCAGGGGGGAGAAAGATGGACAGACGCGAGGTATAAGAGAGACACGAGTGGAGGATAAAATGAGATCACATTAAATAGGCAGCGAGAATGATAGACTGAAGTGAAAAGGTATTTGTGGTGGGGGGGTTTCATCTGAAATATGCTAGAGCCACTAGAGAGCTACACTTCAGGATGGTGTGAAAGAGAAAGTGATAGAGAAGAGGAGGAGGAGGAAGAGGAAGAGGAGGGGTTGGAAGAGGTGAAGATAAAGGAAGATTGAAAGAGAGGAGGAGGAGAAGAGAGAAAAAGGGAGCGGTGCAGGGTACAAAAAGATGAAAAGGTAGATTACAAGGAAAGATGATGTGTGGGCGATTGCACTGTAAGGTGCAATAGGAGAGTCATACTTCAGGTTTTGGAGGAACTGGGGAAATCTAAAGAAAAAAAAGATTGGTCCATACCTCCTACTTCTTTTCATCCATCTCATCTGTCAATCATTCATTCTTTTCAGCTTCCTCTCGGCTTCTGCATTCTCGTCTTTTTTCCTGTTTTTGCCTCTCCTGCTTTAATTTCCTGTCCTGTTCTTTACATTCGTATGAAAGCCTTAATTGTATCGAGAATCAGATGTCGTTGCTGAAAGCGACCGGTTCAGTGGACAGAGATTAAATTGGGATTGAGAGTGAACCTGAGAGTATGCCCTGGTTCGATGGCTTCCCACCAGATGGATGTGAGGTTCTTTTTTTTTCTCCCTAAATGCCAGCTGTTTAAATCATTTCCCCCAATAATCACAGAAGTGAAGTGCTGCTGGGAATTTATACGTGTCTTACAACCAAGCTCAACCTCCCGAATCTACAATCATGACCATATTTTGAGATTTTCTTTTATCACCGAAATATGAAATAACTGCATGCCCATACAGTCTCCCTCCTCCTCAATCACACACACTATAACAGTGGCACACACACTCTCCCAGCAGCCTTTGCTGGCAGGATGCTGAGCAGCTACGCCTCATAAACGGGCTGATTTGCAGGCCATTCTGTTCTGTCCTGTTCTCGTTTAACAAAGTGCTGTTATGCTATTGTTACCGCAGGAGGGAAAACATGAAAAAATGTCCTCAGACGCAGAACGCCGCTGACAAATCACACCAGTTATTGCTGTGTGCGTGCCATTACTGCAATACTTGCTCCGCAAGTGCATGTGTGCGAGAGTGTGTGTGAAGTTGGTGCTTTTGTTCTCATGAGGGTGCTTTGGCAGGCTGGCAGGTGCGAGCAATGGGAAGCTAGCGAGCGACTGGCATAGCCGTGGATTCAGCAGATGGCCTTTCACTCAAAAATGCGTCCTCCCCTTTTGGTCCTTGAGTTCTCTCACTCCTTGTTAAACAGCTTCTGCCTCCCAGCCTCTGTGTGTGTGTGTGTCTCTCTCTTTTGTCTGCAGTCTAATGATTCTCCAGTCTTACAACTATCTTCTTCTCCCTGTAGCTGCAGGCTTTGGTTATGTGCCAGATCCCGTGTGTCTTTCTATGTTTTTAATGTGGGAGTTTTGTTGAGAAGTCAGCGGGAAGTTGTTTAATCCATGTGAGGCCTGTTTTTGTTGTTGTTGTTTTTTTTAGCCGTCTCATCTGTTATGTATCTCAAAGTCTGACTTCATATCTGTTGTCAGAGCTGGAGATATTCAGCAGGGAGTCAAGAGCCGCAATCTGTTAAGGAAAATGTTTGAAAACCTGAAAATAATAAGTGATTCATTTGATGCTTATTGCAAAATAAGATGTACGGCTTTTCAGTTTGTCTTTGAACAAGGTTAATATTAACAGCAACAGAAACCTTTGATGGTTCACTTTCTCTAAACTTTCAAGAGACGTTCCTACTTTTCTAAAGGATAAAAACAAACCTTTTTTTCTGAAGGTAATTTTTAACTATAAAGAGTTAAAGGCAGAAAGAAAACGCAATGCAGGAGAGTGAGATGTCATTAACATGGCTAATTCTAGCAGAAAGACGCCTCGGTGTCGCTAATAGCTAGCGGTAACAGCTCTGCCTTTCTAACACAATAGCATGTCCTGTTGATGTGTGTGTGTTTGTGCACGTAAGCTCTTTTTACCTCCGCAGCATCTGTTATGCAGCCCAGGGTTATTCTTAAAAACTTAATGACACAAATGAGGAGAGGAAGGATGAAAAAAAAAAGGGGGGGGGAGGGAGGGTGGGAGGGAAGCATGTGCTCATGAAAACATGCTGGAGTGGAGTTAAGAGCTAGCGAGGAAAAGAGGCTTGCGAAGAAATTGTAGAGCACTAATTGAGGGTAAAAAAGCGGGAGAATATTTGTGTGTGTGCCTGCTTGTTTGGATTTCAAAGAAGATGTAAGAAGTTGAAATTTTAAAAAACCAAAGACTAACAGTAAGGGCTTTTTAGCTTCGTTATGCACAGCAAAATAACAGAAATAGGGAAAATTCACTAACTTAGACACAAATGATAGAGCAATGTTTGCCAAATGCTTCTCATGGTGAATTTGGTGGGGGTAAAAATAATCCGATCTAGCCCATTCCCTGTGGGTGGTGTTGGTCTGTTTTACTTGATGATAGTGCTAATAATGATTTGGCTGCAAGGAGATTCTGTGTACACCAATCTGCCAGATTGAGAAGGTGTGTGTGTGTGTGTGCACGCATGCGACGAAATGATGTGTGTTTAATATCATTAGACAGATTTGTATGTGTTTCTCGGATGCCTGTGCATTCAATTAATGCGGCAGAGCTGAAGGGTG